GGCATATTTCCAGTGCCGTCTTAAATAACCTAGCGGAAGTGTATGTTTGCGAAGAAGGTTTTGAAATTCTCCAATGATCTGACGTTTCATAGCGCGGTTAACTGCCCAACGAAATAAATTTGAAGAACTTTTTTCTCTTCACTCTCCGGCGGCAACGATTATCCGGTTCGATGGTGAATCTGTCCTTGAAACTGTGTAGTATAGTTGGTGGGTGAGTATCGTTGTTCTACAGAAATCTTATATAAAAAGGCTTATTTTAGACGAAATACCTTAAATGCCTTATTAAGGGTGGCAATGGTTCTGGTGGTTGATTTAACGATGGTCATTTGAGATTAACCCCTGGACAACTCAATCCTGTTGTCTCGGAATTAAGCTTTAACACACAGTAATATTGGCAATTCACGTCCATTGGGTCAATCGGAATACACGGGAGTTCAACATGCTCGGCGGTACAAGACGTCGATGTAATCGGGCATTGATGGCACTTTTCCTCACTTCATGATTTTCAGTAATAACTCGACTCCAGCGCCACCCGGCTTTTTTTTTTTTGTAATAGTATTACCCTTACCAATACATATCTCGAATGTCAGTCAAATTGGGTCACAAATACGAATTTTAGTAAAAACTGGACTCCCGGGCCACTTGGCGTTTCAGCATGTTTGAGAGGCGCCACGCCCCTTTTTCAAATCCCTCCAATTTTCTCTAAGAGCATGAGCTTGATTTCATGCATACCATACCAGGTTCAATTACTCTACCAAGAGCACTTCCAGAGTTATGCAGTATGAAAAATTCGGTTTGTATGGGAGGTGCCACGCCCTGTTTTATCTGGCGCAATAGCCGCCTAAAAGTTATTTTTTTAATTTATTAAATTACAAGTCATTTCATCCTTCACTACTATCTGGGGCCTATTCGGGAACTTAAGTGAAACTAACTATTTACAACTTAAGCTCTTAACAGCAAATTCATGACTGTAGTTCAATGTAAAGAAAAAAATAAAATTAAAATAAATAAGTTAACGCAAAACTAGGAACTTAAGAGGAGAAAAACATTCACCAACGTCTTAGTTGCTGAAAAAATGGAACCAAGTCTCCAAGCCTATAGCACTGCTTGCACAACCCTAAATCCTCTCTACTTAACTTCTGCTTCAAGTCAAACAGTCCAAGCGAATGTTAAAATAACATTTTTCATGCTGACTGCCTTTAAAGTGTGCAAGAAGTTTTCGACCATTACGATATTATGCGTCAATTAAAATGCAAATTAGCTACAGGACACAGCGCTGAGTTACGCTTAAATAAATTTATAATATACATACATACATGCATAATTGCCTTCGGTCGCCAACTCAGTTGACAAACATAGACACTTGCAATTGTATAAATTGTATAAATATAACTTTCGGTCACACGAAAACTACGCTTAGCTGATGAACTTAAGCATTTCGTAAGACGTATGCCTTATCAGTTAAGTGTGTGTAGCTTGTACATAAGTATTTATGGGCAAACAGGGACCAACAGCTTTTATTCAAATGAAATTACAAATTCAAGTGTCATGTTGCCTAACACGAGGGGAGGTATACAAATGCAAGTATACATTAGACCGTTTCATAACACCCCTGAGCCTGAAGTAATTTTCCAAGGCAATTTCGAAAAATATTTTTTTTTTTTGGGCCGAACGTGGGGTTCGCCTTTTTACATTTTTCCTCATATCTTTGGCATACACAGTCGAATTTAAAGCATGATATGTCGATGTTCTTGTGTCGATGAGAAATTTTTTGTTTTTGTTACAAAGTTCATTGACCTCAAGTACCCCGTTCTAGTACTTACCCAGCTCATCGCAGTTCTTACCATCCTAATGTGCCACCTTAAGGTCAGTAAATTAAAGCTCACCAAAAATCATTAAAGTTTGGCTAAGAAATTATTTCGATTGCTCCAGTAGAAATATTTAAAAAAAAAAAAAAGTTAATTGCCAAATGTGGGCGTCACGGATTAATGTAAAAAGCGACCCTTAGGTTATGTCGAAAAAAAATTGTTTCGGAATTGTCTTGCAAAACTAATTTAGACTCTGGATTGTATTGCGAGCTTTTTTTTTTGTTTGCTTGTAAGGTGGTACGGTTTTATATTTGTAAATAGTTACATACATACGTACATACAGGATTTTTTTAAAAGACTTTGAAATTTTAAAAATATGATTACTTCAAAAAGTTATTTGACAAAACACTATGGTATCAAATTAAAAAGAAAATTTGTAAAATTAAAGATTAAACTTTTTGGTGCAATACGACGAGTAGGTATTGAAAATGCTTTTGTCCTTGAAATTTTCAAATAATTGTTTTTGAAAAATTATATGTTAAAGGCTAATGCACACTCGACCACAGCCTCGAATATCCTCCTTCAAACTTCATTAATTTAAAACAATTAAATTAATTAAAATGGCATTTTAAATACCTATTCGTCCTAGTGAACCAAAAAATTTTAATTTTCTGAAATTCTACAGAATTTTATCTTTCATTTGATACCCATACTGGCAGAGTTTACATGGCAGTGGATTTTTTAAATAATTTTTGGAATTAATCATATCTCCGAAACTACAAGGTCCGTTTATAAAAATCCTGACGTCATAGAGAAAAACTGAAAACGCGGTTTTACTATATTTGGTTCACAGTTTCGAGAGTATATTGATTGCTTTGTGTATTTCCAACTATTTTGTTTTTTGTATTTTGATGTTATATTTAAAAAAATATTTTGGAAAAATTTCATAATTTACGTGAAAATTTCGCGAAATAAGAAGTGCCAAATTTGGTGTCATTATATTTTATACAAAAGATTTCGTGTAAAAAAAGTACATTGTAACTTCTAAAATCTAGTATTGCAACTTAAAAATATCTCTTTGGAATATGTTTTTAAAAGTCACAAAATATTTATATAGCTGAGGAGTTGCAGTAGAAAAGAATAGTATGACTGTAATTTAGACGGAAAATTTTTAATTTTTTCGTTTAAAATACACTCATACTTTTACACCTTAACTACAACCTTCCTATATGTATAAGTAAATTAAACTTTCAGAATATACGCATATAGTAAAATCTATCACATTTTGAGCGCTGATTACCCTGCGTTCACTTCTTTGGTGGCACCATACTATCAAAACTGCCAATTATATTACCAGGTGGATTGTAATTACAAACAACATACGTAGTATCGCCTCTGAAAGCATAGAAAATAAATGTTGCTTGAGTTATATTTATAGTTAGAAATTACCCCTGGCTCACCTTGTCGCAATGTCCACTCCCAACTGTCGACTCTCCCGCCACACCACTTGTGTGAAATGTCCTGTTCCCGGCTTATAATTTGGTTTGGAGAAATCATAGCAGCGTATCTCGTCGTACCAACGTTGTACTGGCGTTGAGCCATTAACCTCCATGCCAAAACATGTATACAAATTTTCACCGTAGGTGTGCACTTGCCGATGTTCCAGGCGGCCTGTACCAGCCAAGTGCTGTGGTAGTAGAGAGATTTTATTATAAGGTATATTAAAAATTACAAACGACTAACTTGTAACCAATTCTAACTTAGAGGCAAATCAGGGCCGGGAATCACGAATGAAACTTGATTCGAAATTTCATTTTGAGATTACGGCACTCGATAATGGGTCCGCCTTTTCAATGTAAATTTCATTGGATAGAAAACAGCTGTACTTTTTTTCATTCGGTTAGAAACGAGTAATCATTCGTTCACTGATGACGCGATTTGGGCTCAGGTTCTTTACGGCTCCGGCAATTCTTATAAATCCTAATCGGATTTCTGCTAATGACAGCCCTATTCTTTTTTCTAAATCAATATTTTGCATAGAATTTAGTTTAATTTTTTTAACCACCATTTCGGTGTTGAAAAAATTAACGGTAAGTCTGCTTTCCCTGGACCATCTAATCTCTAGACGTTCGCTTAATTTCGTCACCATAAACTTTGACTTGACAGCCAGTATTCTGCAATAACAGAATAATTTTATTTACTGTAAGGTTGAAGAGAAGAACGTAGAGGAGCATTTCCTGAGGGATACTTCTAGCTGCATGCCAAGTAATCGACACGCCCTCATCTTCAACTTCCCCAAGGGTGGATACAGGCGCACTTACATAATAGGCTTCCGGAGTGAAATTATTGAAATCTATCTCTACGTGAAAAAATACCTATTATCAAATCTTTAAAGGCAAGTTCCTTTTTACTTTCGGGCATAACGCCCTGCATCTCAGTGTCCACTGCGGAGGACTATCAGTAAAAACGGCAAGCATTCTTTCTAAAAATTTGGAAGTAAGATAATGAAACCAATGTTCATGGAGATTTTTAAAGTTTAGATATTTCGATAGCCCATTAATCTTATCATATTTAGTACGGTTTCCGGTGTATTGGGCGAAGTCAGCCGTTGGAGCTGCAGCTTCTGCTTTGAATTTCTCAATGGCTGTTCAAGAATATGTCTAGCATTTCACAACTTTTGGTCAGTCGGATGTTTTAATAGAACCTTTCGTAATCGGTGCTCAATATCTCGACAGAAATTCTTTCAAGACGATGTGATTTAGGCTAGTTGTACGGACTTCTTGAAAGTTTTTTAGGCATTCTTATATGCTTTGCCAAAAAGCATTCTACCGAACATAGATATGTATTTCCTGGTTCCACCACTGGGCTCTCCTTTTACCTATTGAACGAGTTTCTTGTCTGTTCCTCTATATTATATGTTTGTCGAAGCCAACTACTTATAATTTTGGAACATTATATTTCTATGGATAAATTAAGTTTCAGTTTCCGATAATGCATAAACCCAATATCCCCTAATTTGTCTCTCCCAATCTAACACAAAGCGTTCTTATTAGAAAAAGTCGCACTCACCTTGGCCCATTGTTGAGCATAACGACTCAGTTCATTACTAAGCGACAGCGTTGGACAGTTCTGATGTTGTGCTCGAAATCGGTTGTGCGCATCCAAGCATTCTTGCTGAAAATCTGAAGCAAAATCGGAAGTATCACTCCCACTGCAAAAAAGCAAAATTTTTTATTAATAACTGATAAATTGAATTAGAAATAGTAGCTTTTTTAATGTCAAATAACTTTTCTTTCCCATATACTTATTTGTTTTTTCTCTCCTCTTTTCCTATTTTCTCATTTTGCATCCTTCTTTTCTTTTTATTTGGCAATTAAACCGTTAGTTGGTTTAGGCTGATACCTAAAACAAGAAGACTTCCAGTGATGCATTTACATATCTACTAATAATACGGTTTGGTGATTGTCAGAAGGCATATTTCCAGTGCCGTCTTAAATAACCTAGCGGAAGTGTATGTT